CTTAATCTTTTGTGGGGTTTAGAAAAGAATTCTTCCGAGCTTGAAGTAGTTTTGAAAAAATTCGCCTTACCTTCGGCGAATTGGGTAAATCCTTAGCTTAGAATTAAATTATTTACCTTCTTGCTGAAGCGGGAAGGCTTCTCATAAATATCCAATTGTCTTGGGAACTCAGAACCTTATAAATTTTACTTGATCATGCATTTACTGTATACTACACTTTTGTCTTACTTTAGAAGAGTTACTGGCTATTCTTTTTTAACATTATTTAGAATGCTTACGACAGCTCAAAGAATATGCGTTAAACGCAAAAAAAAAAAGTTTTCTGTTGCTGTGAGTAATAATCTTGTAATGATTACTCAAAAGCTATCAATTCAAAACGCTAAGCCATCTCTTACACCATATCCTTCAAAGTGATGGTCAGTTACAGGGTTGCAGAGGGCCATAAAAAGAATTAGGGAACTGGCAGGGAACCGCCTTTGAGGTGAATACTTTTATGGACACCTTTTGTTTTCCTTTCTTTTGAAGGTTGAAAGAGAGGAGCGGAAAGGATGAGAAGAAGGGACTAGCACTGGTATGAAAACTAATGAGCTTTTATTTTAGTAAAGGTATAGAGCAACGAAGGGTAGAAGGCAAGCTTAGGGGTAACTGTTAATAGTGTCTGATATGTTACCAGAATAAAAAGTGAGTCAGAAATTGACGGTGGACTCTTCTTCTCTTTATTTGAATTACTTGTTGTTGCTTCTTTTTGTTGATAAAAAAAAGTAGCATAAAAATGAATTTACCACCAATTGATTCCTTGTGTTTGGTCCCATATAAGCCAATGGCCAATGCGAGGAAGAATGTAATAAGTGAGGCAAATGCTGGAAGCGGGTGAATTAGAAGGTTTTTGCAGCAACATGCAAATATACTGAACAGCGTCCATGCCAATGCCGCAACTTCAAGTAAACCTGCTGCACACATTGCCACTATTACAACTTTTTCGTAGCCTTGCAAGTTCTGCAAGAAAATTCTCATTCTACAGTTGTAACCTTTTGGGCCTGTAAACTAGACTCTTTTTTTTTTTGAAGTTATAATTACAGTTGTCAGTGAACTGCAAACATCTAGGAATAGTCCTATTTCAAGTTTATTAAGTATACTTACATCCCACCACTGTTTGCAGTAATCTTCGTCTGTAATTTCGGAAGCAAATAACGATGAACTGTTGCTGCTCGGAGTTCTGCATAAGAACGGAAATAAACCAGCAGCGTCGGGCGTCGTTTTATTCTGAGCTATCATTTCTTGAAAATCTCTCCAGCCTAAGATTAAGTGTTTTGATTGTAACAACAATTTACTATCTTTGAAAAAAGTGTACTTTAGAAAAAGAATACATTGTTTCAAATAAGCGAATATGTTTTATTTTATACCGTAACCAAGTCTCTTATTACTCTTTACACATGTCTTTTCGGTATAAAATATTCAGCTAAAACACCTGGTGTAAACATGGATGCAAGTGTTAAGCCTAATGCCACTGCCATTATAGCACCGAATATTATTTGACCTAAGAACGAGCAACACATTTTTCTTGCCTCCTCCCCCTGAAGGTCAAAACAGTTTGTTGTTCAGCAATGAAGCTCTTCGATCGTCCAATGGGTCAAAAACTAAAATAAGAAACCATCAAAAGTGAATCTGATACAATAATGCCTTCACAGTTGGCTGATATATCAGCTTAATAATTATTAGTACTTTTCAATACTGGTCTCAGTAGAAATCAACCATAGGTTCAGCATCAAGTAAATTATTCTTTTCCAAACATTACTAGAAGATGCCAAAAAATATGTTTACAACAATTTACCAACTCTTTTTCTGTCACCGAAATACATATTATTTAAAAATTTCCATCAATTTTGCCAACTTTTTCAACAGAAATAGCAATCCCATTTGTTCACTAAAATGCGCTGTAAAAAAGTTTTTTTCAGCCATTTTGACCGATAAAAACGTATTCGTCTTCAAAGAAGCATTTACTAAACTAACAAAAAGGAAAGAGAAGCGAAGCAAAAAAAAAAAGTAATTGTGGAATCTTATTGATTTGCTGCTATGATAAGCTATAGTTTCAATAAACAATTTTAAATAGTATTCCACTTAAGCAAGCAGTTCTTGCTTGTTTATTTCAAAAAATTGAAGCTAAAGAAGGAAAAGAAGGAAGGAAAAGACGATGCGATACAAATACATTTTTCTGTCACACTTCACCTATATATATATATATATATATATATATATATATATAT